TCTTATTTGGGTATTTTATATATTTTTTTGAATGATTAGTTTATATTTGTATGATTAAATTGATTAAAGTGTATGTTAATTGTTTGATCATATTAACTTATTGCTAGCTAAGATGTGGGGCTACCATGTGTGTGTTGTAACCCTACCTTTTGCTGTAAATAGAGAAGTTAGAGTTTCATTTTATTTATTCTCTCATTCTAGGGAGAGATTTCAACTCCTAGAAGCCACTATAAATAGAAAACTCTCTCCTTATAACCTATTATATGCAACTAAACTCTATTCTTAGTTGAATCAACTCTAAGCTTTTGGTTAAATCGCAATAAGATTATAAGTTTTATTTCTAAATTTATTTTATTTGGGTATTTTATATTTTTTTTGAATGATTAGTTTATAATTGTATGATTAAATTGATTAGAGTGCACGCTAGTTGTTGGATCATATTAACTTATTACTAGCTGAGTATTCAATTTTATATAATTGCTTGTTTAAACTTACTTGAGATAGTAACTAGGAGTTGATGATTATTTTTTATGCTTTCATTCAATTCTTTAAAAAATACAAAACTAGGTTACGTCTTCTCTAGCGCTTAGGAAGGTGGCTTAGCTTCACCTATCTTTCTTTGATTAATGTTGTTATTAGATTAAATCTATCTAGTGCTTAATAGGTTGTTCGAGTAGCTAGAAAATTAATCGAGTATCGTATATTCAATTAACGACTAAGTAAGAAAAAATTGAGGAAAACATACATGTTGTTGCCTTACGATGAATATTCATGTTTAGGATAAGTTAATTATTTAATCGATGATTAGCGATCAAATTGAAAGTGAATACTAAAGTTTAACCAAGGTTCTCTTAATATTGTTATTTCAATTTACATATCTATTTTGAAGCATTCCAAACATAAAACCCTACTTTTACACTACAAGAACACTCCACCTAAAGGAACGACCAATTTAGCCTCTTTCCCTATGGGTTCGACCCATACTTGCTATGATTACATTATTGTGATTAAAAGCTCTATAAGAAAAAAATATAAATTAATAATTTATTAGCGACACGACGTACCATAAATAAATTTAGGCACCAAGAAATTATCCATTAAGTCGGTAAGAGTTCACACAAGCTACAAAAATTTAGGTACTAAGCATTTATCCATCCATTCAAAAAGAATTCATATAAGTTACAAAAATTTAGGCATCAAGAAATTATCCATTAGTTCGATAAGAATTCACACAATCTACAAGAAATTAAGCACCAAACATTTATCTATCAATTTGATAAGAATTCATACAAGTTCCATCAATTCGACTAGAATTTACACAATCTATAAAAAATTAGGCACCAAGCATTTATCCATCAATTCGATAAGAATTCATACAAGTTATAAAAATTTAGGCACCAAGTATTTATCCATCAATTCGATAAGAATTCATACAAGCTATGAAAATTTAGACACCAAGCATTTATCCATTAATTTGGTAAGAATTCATACAAGTTATGAAAATTTAAGCACCAAGCATTTATCCATCAATTTCGATAAGAATTCATACAAGCTATTAAAATTTAGGCACAAACCAATTGTCCATCAATTCAGCAAGAATTCATACAAGCTAGCCAAGCAACATGCCTCATCATGCTTACAAAAATTAAGGATAAACATTCAAAAAAGGCATCAAGCAATTGTCCATCAATTTGGCAAGAATTCACCCAAAACATAATAATTCAAAAGGGATGTTCATAATTCATCATCAATGAAACTTGTACATAATAAGTCTTGTGATATAGGCGAGAGTTACGATTACTTAGACGAGCTAGAAATGAAAGAAAACACTTCAAGATCCCTTAAAAACTTCACGTTGCCCTTTGTCCTAGCTTTCGATCAATTGCTCAAAACGTCTCCCTCTCTGCTAGTTCCCTCTCAAGCTCGTGTGTAGTTGTTTTTTCTTTGTAAGAATAAAATGGCCAAAACCTTGGCAAAGGAAAACTTTCACCCTTGTATAAAGAAATGGTAAAAAATCCTAGGTGATGACACCTACCTAGCCAACTCATCCATGTAAGCTTAAGTGGTGTCTCTCATCTTTACATTAACCTAACATAAATTAAGCCCCCTCTCACTTGTTAAATTAATTCAATCAAGCCTCTTGATTAAACATGAATCATTTTAGGGTTTCTATAAGATCACATACAAGCGATACACGTAATATTAATAGCAAACAAGGTATAACGTTCGATAATGAGGCATATAACAAGACATAAAAATCGCTTAGCATGACTTGATAATTTTTATCAACATAAATCAAGTGTCACGATATAGTTATTTTTGATAACATGAATACAAAATAGACATAAACATAGAACATCAAGTAAATCACACACACATATATGCATATGCCATGGTTAAGGGTCTCGATCGTTACATCCTTTGACTCACTTCGTGAATATCTTCATTGACCATTTAATCTCGGTCATCATCTAATTTCTATTTCTATTCCTTGATAAACTTTTATTGTTGTTACCTTTCCGGACCAACTATCGAGTAGAGAAGATAGCAAAATTAGTGCCTTAATTTCATCATCAAATAAGATGTTAACTAACTCTAATTGATTGATCAACACATTAACTTCATTGATGTAATTAGTCACGGATGCACCCTCTAACATCTTTGAATTAAATAATTGACATATTAAAGTACCTTATTTGAGATAAATGACTTCTCATACATATTTGATAGCACCATCATCAAATCTATTGTGGTCTTTTTTTCACGATGTTAAAAGTAATATTTTACATCAATATTAGCTGAATAACATCCAAAGCCTAGTGATCCAACAAAACCCAATTAGTATCTTTCATTCCCTACTAGCTTATTCCTTAATATGGTTTATGTAGGTTCTTCGGTACGGATAATCTTTAACCCACATCTTCTAGAACACGAAGTCTTTGTCATCGAACTTATCAATCCCGACTTTTTTTTTTTTTGCCATCTTTCCTCCTTATCCTGTGAACCCGAGGCTATGATACCAATTGTTAGAAAATGAACCGAGTAAGAAAATAAAATAGAGAGACAAAAAATAATCATATAACATAAAAATTTATGTGGTTCGAGTAGTTGTGTCTACTCTATAATGTTTTAAACTATCGGTCTCCACAATTTAGCATAAAAGACCATGAATAGAGCCATGAATCCATTTTAATTTGCATATTTAATTGATACTTGCATAAAATAATAAAATATGTGACAATAAGTGTCAACTTCATATATGTATTGCAAATTAGAGGCATGACCACACCTTTTGTCCGCTTTCTAACATCATATCTACCATAATAATAAAATATTAATAGAACTAATAATTGATATCTTCTCAGAAGGATATCTAAATAGATGGATGAATGCATGTCATGTAGTGTAAATTAATACTATTTCAAAAGCGAGAAGAGTATGAAAAAAAAAAAAAACATAAAATGACAACTAAAACAAATGAATTGCCTATCCTCTCCATATAGTGTAAACTCTTCTCGATCGTTATATGTATGTCATTTTTATGTGATGTGCTTCTTGAATTAAGAAATATATTACGTCATCTTAGTGATAGATAATTGGGGGAAACATGTGTTGTACGATCGGATCCGGTTTTTTGTGTGAAAAATTTAAGAGTTTGATCAAGTAAAAGAGATTAGGACACTATTATAGTTGAATTAGGACTAAAAAAGTCATGGTGATTGTATGGAGAGTTGAGAAACTATCTTTTTGCCTATTTTTTCATATGTGGTGCCATTAATGATGCATGAATTTTTGACATTTAGATTTATTATACCTAATATTCAGCCTAATTGAGGAGTTTAGAGAAATAGTGATGGTGTCCTTTGAAGTCCCGCAAGCATAGAGCATAATCATCGGTGTTATTGGTAAATCCACTTCAATGGTCAAGTTGATATTTTTAAATATACTTGTATAAATATAAGATATTAGAGAGAGATGATTCTCTTTGAGATTATAAATACATTATGTTTATCGTGCCTTAGTTGAGAATGTGTTTTATGATAGAGTGAGTTCTTTTATATAGTGAAAAATATAGATATAAAGCATAATTTTAGTGTGTTGAATCAATAACTATACAGCCATAAAGAAAAGGGTCCATAATCATAAGAATTCCAACTTTAATAGGTTTTGTGGAAAAACCCAAATTTCACCCCTCATCAGATTCACAGGAACGAGACAGTAAAGTTTTTCCTCTTTATCCAGATCATGATGTGGAATATCACTATCACTCATTTCAATTCAAACGAATATGAATTTCAATCTAGCTTACTAATGTGTTGCCATGTTAATTGGAGATGGCTTGAAGATAAGAACATTCATTGAAGTTCGCTGTTTTCTGTTAAGAATCTCAAGCTAAAACATCAATTCAGCTAGATGTTGCAACCTTAATTTGATTGTGTAGAATGCTTTTCCACGTCAAGAAGGGTTTTTTTTTTTTTTTTTTGGTGTGTATTTATGCGTGGGCGTGCGAAATTTACAAGTGTCAGCATTAGTTGATAGGAAATAAGAAAGTCGGGTTGGAATTGTATTCTTAAATAGTTCGTTCCTAATTCTTGTGAACTATTAAACGTAAGACTTTTTGGAACCTCTGGTCGATCCAAATCCAAGTACTGCTGTGACTTAACCGCAACAGCGAGATACTTTTTATCTTATGTCGTCTTCGAACTATAACTCCCCGTTCGAGTCAACTTACGTGCCGTTTACGACTCGTCTTTCCCTAAATACATGAAAGTTGCATAGAAGAATAATGTACACTAGCCTTTATAGATTATCTTTTTGCAAATTGGGCGTTTCGTAGTAGCCGCCCACCTTTTTCTTACATATTCTTGCCTTTATATTTCCCTATCTGTTTCTCATACGTACATCCATTTTAGCATCTTATACATTTCTTCTTCTTCAAGGAGTATAGACTCGTGAGAAATTGTAGCAGCTCAGGTCTTGTTTATTCATAGCATTCATTCATGGCAATGGAGAAGTATCAGATATTCCTTCCTGTCTCTGACCCATCAAGTCCTTCATCACTAAACATGGCAAATCGTCAAATCTATTTTCATAGTGACAGTGAAAATGGGGTCAAGCCAGAAAGTAGAATTCATCATTTGGATGCTCAAAACAGTGTTTCTCAGACCAGTAGAGTCTCTAACAATTCTGAGATTAAGGTGAAACCAAGAAAGAGAGTAGGGGATAATAATGAGTGTAGAAAGCATAGATATGCATTTCAAACTAGAAGCCAAGTTGACATACTTGATGATGGTTATAGATGGAGGAAATATGGGCAAAAGACGGTTAAGAACAGCAAGTTCCCAAGGTCAGTATCCTGCATGTTAATCTGCTAAAAATTTATTGGTTCTTTTGTGGGATGATTGCTAAATCGGTCTCTTAATTCTCTTTCCTGTCAATTTCTATCTAGCTGCCTGCCTTATCAATTGTTGTGGTTGGTATTAACTATATAGTTTAGTGTTGATTTATATCCTCCAAAAGGCTAGGGTTTTTTTTTTTTTTTTTAATGTATTGTAGACAGGACAAGGCAAGTGATATATTGATTACTTATTGGAGGAAATTAATTTAGTTCAGATCATAAAAGAGAGCCAAAATCATAATCTGATGGGAAGTTTCTTCATTGAACATTCAATTGCGACTGCAGAAGTTACTACAGGTGTACATATAATGCGTGCAATGTCAAGAAGCAAGTCCAACGCAATTCTAAAGATGAAGGGATTGTTGTTACCACCTATGAAGGAATGCATAATCATCCATCTGAGAGGTGCTCTGAAAACTTCGAGGACATCCTGAGACAGATGCAAACTTACACTCCTTTCTAAATTATGCCGCGACTTTTCCCTTAATGTTTGGATCGCACATAGACTACTGTAATGCTGTATTGGGGGTGGAAAATAAATAACGTTCCGACAGCAGAAAACATTGGAAGCTACTTTCCTTCTAGCTATGGAATCGTTCTGATGGTGCAAAGAATGATTTCAGTTTCAAGCTTGCTAGACTGATTTGGCAGATTCGCTATATGGAGGATCGTAGCCATACAATGTTTAAAATTAGCATAAGGACTTCTCCAGTTCTAAAGACTCAATACTTTTGCTCTTTCTGATCCACCATTCTTGGTCAAAGCAGAAGCAAAATTGGATACTAAGAACTAAGCTTGGTTGAAAGAGTACCATTATTGAAGTTTTGGTCAAACTTGTAAATATTCGAAGGGTTGGATGACCTATTTCTATTTAAAATCTTGGATTGGATTATAATCATGTTGGTGCTGACTGAAAATACTCAGCTAGAACCTTGTGTTTGTTAATTGCCTCCATATTCTTCTTCAGTGTTAATTTCTTAACTGCTATTTGAAGGACAGAAGTCCTACAAATTAAGGGCTCCAATGAAAAAGCTGGGAGTTCAGTACTCAGATCACCTTTTGTTCTAGATATGACATTAACTTCATGTTATTCTGCAGATTTAAAGAGCAGAAAATTTTCCAACTTTATTCTTCAAAATCCCTTAAATGTTCAAGATTGTTCCCATATCAGCAAGATATTGGGGTAATGGCTCCATATATAGTTGATTTAGCAATCTATTTTATTGACTACATATATCATCACTATATATATATATATATATCTGCATTATTCATGACGGTAAGGTATGAAAATCTCCAATTAGAAGACAGATGCATATATGTATATCTGCATTATTCATGATGGTAAGGTAAGAATATCTCCAATTAGAAGACAGATGCATTCATACAAAAGATTAAGGAAACATCAGTTGGATCACCTCCTCAGTTTAGAACCAACTTAAATAGAAAACAGAGAAAAATATCATGTTGGGAATAGAATCACCTCATTTCCAACCCCATGACCACCAAAACTCCTCTTTGAGATGATCCCAATTGCACACGCAATGAAAGCAATTGTAAGCCAACCCATAGCAACCATCCAGCTTGCCCCATATCTTTCTTGTTCACCATTCAAAACTCTATTTTCTTCTTGCACACTTGCCACCACCACCTTTTCTTCCTCTTTTTCTCTCTCCATACAGTCGTCACAAATATAAAAAGAAGAAGAGGAGGATGATGATGAATAAGAACAATGGTGACTAAATGGAGACAACCCTTCTTTCCTTGCATCAACATCTTCATTCTCATCATCAGAATCATAGAAGGATACTGATCTAACTTCAGTCTCTTGAACTAAACCATCCAAATTATCATATACCATCCCCTCTATCCCTCCAAAATCCGTCTCACTCACACTACTCCCCATTGCCTCAAAAAGCCTCCTTCCCTTCAACTTGCCACTCTCAATGGCTTCCCTTCTCTCTTTCAAAATCTCATCAACTGCCAAGTCATTGTTCCTAACCTTCCATTCACCACCTCCTTCCACTGGCGGAGACCTCCCATGTTGAAGTGCAGACATAAGGTCTCTTGGAGAGTTGTATAGGAGTTTACGGGCTTTGACCATAAGTTTCGAGTCTGTTGATGCTCTACATAGGGTTCTTGGTTTAGGTTGTTTAATGGAGTCCCATTCGTGTTGCAAATGCATAAACTGTTGGTACAGTTCATCTATTGTTTCTGTTCCTTCTTTACCTCGTCTTTCCATGGTGGGGTCTTTTCCCTTATCGCTTTCTATTATGACTTGGAATATTTTGTGGTGCTTTTTTGAATCAAGAATGACAGTTAGTGGATTTTGATTTGAACGTGATTTACTGGATTAGATTATACAGGGATAAAAACTACCCACGTTCTGTTTTTGAATTTTCATTTTGGAGCTTATAATTAAGATTAACATGAATCTTACTTGAGATTACTATTATTACTACTATTACGGAACATGAGCCTCGATAATTCAATAATAGAATGTTGATGACCTTTTCCTCCACCACACCATGAGATTAACTGTGCAATTAATCCCAAACATAGTCTAAATGACTACTTTTACATTCACCAGCATCATTCAATTAAGATTAATTACATTTCCCTACTTCCCATTTGGTCCCTTTTGCATTGCATATGATAACATGTGGTCAGGTCTCCTGGCCCAACTAAACGTAGTCTTGTTAATGCTACTAACTAGTTCAAAATTCTTGTTGATTATAATTATCGTTCCAAATTGTCACTCTCCCAAAGCTTCTCTATGGGGCCCGTGGAGGCGCACCTATATCATGTCGTACCTCTGCTAACCACCAATAAGAGCGACTTTTTTCCCTTTCATTAAGAGGATGCAAAGTCACACATGGCCAACTTTCATATTATGTTCTAATTTTACAAGACAAACTAATTGCTTATAGCCCCCACACATAATGTGATGGAAAGAAAAGAACATTTTGCACGCGCCTATAATCATTCTTCCTGCAACAGCATCATAGGCCACATCCATGAACCAATATCACCAAGTCTTGTCTAAAAATGTCTAGTAATTAGCATGGCTGTGCAACCATGCTGTGGAACGTACTCATACGAGGGGCACAGTCACTTGAATCATTAATGCTAATAATACTTGCTTTGGGGAAAAAGAATGGAAAGGTTAGGTTTTTCAGAGGACCAACAAATCATCAACAGCAATTTCTTGGCTATATGTTGCCATGCTGCTGCTGCCACCGCCGCCATAGATGAATTACTTAACCATAAATGTATGAACACTTAAAAGTCACTGGATTCGATTAGCAACATCTATGGTAAAAAAAAAAACCTACAGCAACAGTCTTTGGTTGGAAAAAAAAAAAAAAAAGTGACAAATCCATAACCAAGCTCCAATTTTCCTGGGCTTCAGAATCAGTTTAAGCTTATCCTAGCAAAAAAAAAAAAAAAAAAAAAAAACACTATTGGAACTATTAAATCTCCTACATTTAGTTCATCAAGCTTCTCTAAACATGCTGTGATCAGCTATTTGTGTTAGGATCTGATATGTCCTCTATCATGCCTTTCCCATCCACACTATCAAAGAAGAAGAAATTCTTGAGGGGATCTCCTTTGCCTGATATCGCTTTGATTACCTCCTAAAAGTTTTCATGCCAAATATTAAGGAAGAGTAAATGAAAATTTCAAAAGAAAACAAGTAAATAAATAGATTAGGAATAGACCTGTCCAAGGATTCCTCCAATGATGGCACAAACTGGAGGGAATTCTCTTGCCCCCATAACTAATCTTTCGAGGAGGGCATCGGGAATGTGAGATTCATTCAGAGACTGAAAAGGAAATGCGATAGCATGGTTTAGAAGGTGCATTCCTTTTTCTAAATAAACAAACACAAATAACTGATTCCTACGGGGCATACCTGTGCCTCACAAAGTTCCCTTTTCAACTTGAGAACAGCAGGAAGGTCCTCGATACAAATTTCTCCTGGCTTGCGTCCTTCAGCCTCTTCAAACCTTTCAATCACTACAAAAGGAGGATATAAAACAGGTAATCTCTTCTATAGATGTAGACAGTTTATTTGAAATCCCAACTCATCAAAGTATGAAGGAAACAGGACTTCAGATTTTTCATCATAATATGGACAAACTACTAATTAAATTCCCAATTCCAGTAAAGAGAAAACAATATTGATGCACTGTAGAACTGGCAAGATGCCGGCAGGTTCAGAACCCTCACACCGAGAGAAAACCAGAGCTCTTTCAAAAAAAAAAAAAAAAAAACAAAGAAAGAAAGAAAGGGACAGAGCAAAAAAAGGAGTCATTTGTGACTGGGGAGGAAAATGGTTTGAGCACAAGTACAAAAGGGACCATTATGTACTCTTCAATCTTATATCAGAATTCCATCAGAACAAGAACCAGGCAATGGGGCAATGTGAGTTGTGAACAGTTAAACAGTACTCTACATTCACCATTAGTTCGGACCACCTTTTTAAAGTTCCATTTTGCCTTCTAAACAGCAATAACTGATATTTAACCACACCTCTCATAGCGAAATAAAGCTTCGAGACTTTCCGGGGAAGTGATCTCCAAGGCACTGAAACAGCTTCCTGCAATGAATGGATAAATTACACAAGTTGTCAGTAAAACGGGTACCTAAGTAAATATATTATTTCATTGTTTATGTCGGTCAAAATCAGCTCATACTTTCATTTCAAACTGATGCTAATTAACCGTAAGCTTGGTAGATACCCAAAATGAATGCCGCAAAACCATTTCCTTGGTTGCACCACATTTTAGTCCCAGTAGATTCCTATATCTAGCCACTTGGTTCATTCTCTGAAGGTGTCACCTTAATGGAATACATGTGAAGATAGCATGGAACAGTTTGCTACTACTCTCACCAATTCTCAGGCAGGAACAGTTTGCTACTACTCTCACCAATTCTCAGGCAAGACTACAGACCAGTTAACTTATCTATAGGGCCAACTTAAAACAATAGAAGCCATCCCTTTTTTAACAATAATGTAAAGAAAAGCACATGTTTGCCAGGAAGTTGATAATTTTACCACATCTCTAGAGTATTTTGGTCTAATGTTCTTGTACTGAAGGAACAAAGCTGGATCAGACCAGACATTTGGCTGTATTTTAAAGGCTATTGAAATGAAACTCAAATTCATGGGGGGAGAACTTCAAGAATTTAGTGATACCTGAAAACTTGAATATTGCAGTTCGCATTCAGTAGTTTCATCAAGCTTTTTCTGTCATTAACAACAAATAGCCAAAAACCATAGTCAACAGAGCACATGATTTGAGGATGCTTAAAAAAATCAACAATTTGGCATCATATGCGAGTTGCATCTTTGCACAATAAATGCCCAAATGAAGTACATCTGTTGGGAAAGAAACATAGAGAAGCTTCAAGCAGACCCGTCTGGGTGCATGCCCAAAGATTAGTGCTCAGTTATACTTCCATTTTTTAAAAACAAGGCCATTCATGATCAAGGTTCATGAAAATGTCAGTATGCACAACTATAGTTCAATAACACCTTAAACTGGTACATTCATTCTTATAACTGCACATAAAGTTCAAAAAAGGATGGTATGAACATATGAAATTATGCGTCTGAATGAGCTAAAACAAGAAATAAACAATTTACCACTCAGAACAAAACTGATTCAATGCTTGATAGTGTATTTTTTGAACTTTTTTAAAAATGAACATTTTTTATCAACATGATAGAGTTAAAACATGAACCCATGAAAGCAGAAAGCCAGTGAAAATGGAAAGGTAAAAGATGGTTACCTTCGCATAATTATATTTCTGCAAATCAACAAAGATCTCACCACAACAATCTCTACAGTCAACTGTATAAAATGATACCCGCTTCGATAACTTCCGGCACTTCTCATTGATCAATTTCTGCATTAAAAGCATAAAATCCAGAAACATAGTAAGTAATAAAAACTCAGGCATTAAATTATAGAGCAGAAAAAATCCTACCAACAAGCACAATTATCTACACAAACTAATAAACAAAAAAGAATGTCCAGTACTTTGGTTGTATGGGAGCAGCAACTAATAACTACAACGTCAAACTTATCAAAGAATTCAGCACCAAAGCTTGCCAAATCACCTGCAATTTCAATATTCCATTAGATGATTTCGAATTCATTGCACGCATACAAAATTCTTTTGATTAATAAAAAGACAAACAATTCCAATCACTAAATCAGCAAATCCAACACCAAATTTAAACATTAACATTCATAAAACAATAAAAACATAACAGAGTTACGGAATAGAAAAACCAAACCTTTTTCAACCGAAACACGGACCATGGGGTTAAATTCTTTCAAAGAGTCACAGCAAAGCTCAGCAAGAGTTTTCCCACTACAAACATTTTCATCAGGTGGTATCAAAAAATTAGCAGACAGTGCTTCTTCAGTCACAGTTCTGCCATCCACTAGTGTCAGACTTCCAACTCCAGCCAAAACAATGTTCTTGCAAAACTAAACACAAACAAACACTAATTCCCATATTATCAACATAAAAAGAACATTTCTAGTGGGTTTTAAGGTTGTAGCAATAAGTACCTCGGCAATAGTGCCCTTCATTCCATAAACTAATATATGGGATTTGCTTAGTCTACAGAAAACACAAAATTAAAAACAAAAACATGGGTTACTTAAAAGATGAGTTCTAAATCAGATTAAGAAGTGAAATAAAAAAGGCCGTTTACCTTCGTTGAGCATCAGCACCCCAAACCCTAATTTGGCGATCATACAATGCAGTTTCTTGCTCTGTCAACTCTTCTCCGTCCATGTTCAAATTAAGCCTAACCAATCAATCAAAATTCAGCTTTGAACTAAACCCTTAAAAGGGTTTTAACTTGATGTGATATAGAAATGATTCTTGACCCGAAAAATGAAAAGACAAAAATGAACACGACAAGCGAAAGTAGTTTTTGCAGTTCGACAGAATTTAGGAAGGGGTTGTTTGCCTCCAGTTCTAATGGTTAATGTTGTTGACCCATATTTGGTGGTTTTGGGCTGTGGATATTCATACGGGCCAAGTTTAGTAGCCTATGATTTTTTTTTCTTTTATCCTCTGAAGAAGAGTATTTAAAGATGTGAAAAATAGGATTTTTGTTAGGTTGGAAATATAGAAAATTGTGATAATAGGATTTTTGGAAAGTGTTGAGTTGAATTGAATTTATCTTTTTTAGTGAATTCCATTGTTTTGTTAGGACTTTTAAATATGCCAAAATTTCCCCGAGGTTGATGTTTTTGTTAGGTTCGATTGCGGAGGATTACTGTTGCTAGATCGGGGGAAAAAAAAAGACAACAATTATAAGATAAGTTGGGAGTGCAATTCAATTCAGCTATGTTTTACTTGGTGAGGACTTTTGCCTCCCATGAATTTCGCTGTTTCTGTGTGGACTTGATCCATCAATGTCTTACCTCCCTTGTAAATAACTATGAGATAAAAAGATTAGTTGAGCTTTATGGGCCATCAATTCAGAATTCAGTACTGAAGACTTTTACCCAGTTAAGGTAAGTACGCAGTACAAGGTGCCATTTCCTTCTGCTTTTCTCAAGTGCCTTTCGTTTTAGCTATCTCCAGCTACTTTATCAACTATTTTGATGGTACAAATTGATGTGTTGGGACATGATTAACATGCCTGCAAAACATGTTAGGAAGTGACTCTCTCCTTGAAATTACACGAGATGACTTTGCTTCTTGAAAAATCCACAGTAACGCCTTCAGCCCTGCATGTGAAAACAATGTGGAAAGTCAAGATAGAATTAAAGCGTTTGATGGAGAACACAACACACGTCTCTATAATTCTTTCAAGAAATAATTGAAAACCATAGACTAATTTTGTGGTCAAGATATCATGACATGTAGACCACATATATACACTTTCTAATTATATTATAGAGAAGGCTAGAATAAGAATATTCACACCTTGCTCGTGAAACATATTTCTCTCCGAACATTGATTGAAAGCATACCTGGGTCTTGACGATTTTTATGCTCTAAGTAGTACTTCTTTATCATAATCACTAATTATAGAAGTGATCTCAATCTCTTTTGGAATTTCCAGACTTAGAGCAAAATTATCTTGTTGTTCAGTGCCAAAACTTAGGGACTTTGGTTACCCTTGAAAGGTAAGGGTCATCCGTGGAAATGTGGAGAGTCCACCAATTAATAATATTCGTCAGAAAAAAATAAAGAGTCGTTTAGAAATTAGAGATCTTAATGACAAGGTAGTACTTTTTGGATCCCATTGTCATAGGAGGACGAAAAGAGCCCTTTTTCCTGGGTAAAGAATAAATAATTTGAGGAGACTAAAATGGTTCTTCATGACACAGTAGTGCTTCTTGGATCACATAATCAATGGAGGATGTAAATAGCCCGTTTTCCTGAGCAAAGAACAAATAATGTGTAAGGCCTTGAAGTACACCCCCACCCCCCACATTTTATGACCATCGGTAATGCTAGTGATCTGGTCAAAATAATCCAAGTGATAAGTTATGCAATTTTTCTCAAGGTAAAATGTGCTAGACCCTTGTGCAATATAATATTGGTGAGGTATAAATAATTTATTAATAAACTATTCAATGTCAATAGTCTCTAAACAACATTAAAGAATAAAATTAGATTTTTTTTTTTTAAATAGGATTGGATATGCATGCAAATTGAATTAAGTGAAATCATGTGCTTAGTGCATGACACCTCTAACCTACTTAACCAAAAAATAAAATAAAATAAAAACAAATTTACCTCCAATTTATCTAGAAATTGTTTGCATAAAATAATTTGTTAAGCCAGTATTTGTATTTTGATTGATAGTACAAAAAGATCTATCACATTTTACTCTAAAAATAATTTGATGGAAATCTAGCAATACTTAAAAAAAAAAAAAAGCACCAAATTTTACCTCTAGTTTAGATAGGTCATTGGCTTGACTTAAATTGACACATTCTCAAAAAAATGTTTATATTTTAATCTTGTTTAGAATTTAAATCCTAGATAATGTCTAAGATATGAAATAATAAATATCCATATGAATGTTCATATTTATTTTATATTTTCATTACTCATAATCCTTAATGTGATTCAATTCATTATTTAATATGAGAAACTGAAAGGATGGTGCATTTGATTCAACTATATTATGCACCTTTTAATTGTTTACAATCTTTTTCAATTATTATTATTTTTTTTAATCTTGAAGCCTATGCATATGTTTAATTGTTCATTAGTTGAAAAAGTTTCTTAAAAAGTCATAGATGTTTTGGAATTGATATCACTTATATTCATTTTCTCTCACAATAAATTCTTTTTTCTATCAACTTTCTCTTCAACTCATTTATTATTATTATTATTAATTTTTTCAATATGTTATCAACACGATTGATCTATATATATATAAAAAACCTATATTATCTAAATCATTAAGAGTAAGGTCAAATTGAGCTCTTAAGTACATAATTCATATGTGAAGAACAAAGGTCCAGATCTTTAAGATGTATATCATGCCATACACTACTAGCAAGTTGCTATTTGGGAGGTCTAGTCTTATTGTGCTCTGCAAGATAAACAATAGTTATTTGCTAGACCAAATGAATATGCTCGAGTATGTCCACTCTTGGTCTTATTACATTGGCTACCTTGTATCTAAAAATCAATTGATGTATGTGTGTTGCTTACATGAATCTTAAAATTGTCTAACTTCGAGTAATGCCAACTTATTGATCTTATTATGAATAATTTTGTTTTGACTTCAATATAGTAACAAGTTTAGAACTTTTGGTTGCTTGACATTAGGCTCGACTATGGCTTGTTTAGCTTAGATTGATATTTACCTTCATGTGAAAATATAAGATAGGATACAATGTTGTATTGATATTGTCATATGCATGTTCTATGTCAACAATAAAGGGTGTCTACATTCAATGTTCTTTCACAAAATCATGCAAATGGACTTGACAAATGAAAATAACAAAAAAAACTAATGATATATATATATATATATATATATATATATATATATATATATATATATATATATATATATATATATATATATATATATATATATATATATTTGATATGTCGTTTCCCTTCCATGTCCGATAGAAAACATGCTAACTTTATGTGTTTCCTTGTTGTGTCCTTGATTGTTGTTATCACCTAATTTTTTACTCTTTTGTTTTATGTATTTTTTCTAAAAATAAAAATATGAAAAATTAAATGTGTTTTGTTTAATTTACTTGATTGTACAAATTTTTACCCTTGCATTAAGGTTTTTTAAGAATTCCATAATTTTTTGGAGTTTAGAAAAATTAACGAAACAACAAAAAAAAGACAAAAAAGAAGAAAAGAAAAGAGAGAGATAAATGAAAAATTGGGACTCGGTGTCTAATTAAAAAATACATGAAAAATTAAAACCAAGAAAAATTCAATTGAAGGATTCAATTAAAAATAGAGTTTGAAGAGAAAATAAAGAGAGGAGATGAGGAAACAACCCCTAACCCTTCGAGCTTCAGCCTAAAACTCGCCACAAACAACCTCGAAAACCTACCACCCAAGCTTCCCATTGTCTAGCCTTATAGCCACCAACTTCTAGCCTCTAAAACCCTCCGATAGCAGTCATAAAACAACCCTAAAATAACCCTAAGCCAATGCTCGGTAACACTAAAATTATCATAATCAAAACCCCCAAATCATTCTTGAAACCCGATCCTAAATTTTAATTAGAGGATGATGATGATGACTTTGAGCAAGGGTTAGTGTATTCAAATCCAAGATATCCTTCAAACCTCAATTAAAGAAGGCAATACAAATAAGTATGTGATGGAGAAAAACCAACACTTGAAGTGCTAACCTTCCTTCCCTTTGTTTGAAAAAATTGATCATCTTCATTAGAGGGTTGAAGAAGGAGTTATTTGTCTTTGGCCTAACGAGGCATCTTCGATACTCTTAGAGAGACTCTTTAATCACTTTGACCAACAAGGTAAGTTCTCGATATTTTTTATATCACATTTACATTTAGATTGATATTATGAATAGATGTTATGTTATAACATATATATAAAATTCAAAGTATGAATAAGATACACCGTTATGTATCGAATCTAGAAAGATCGGAGACCACTAGGTACTTTTAAAGTGAAATAAGGTTGATGTTTAATTCTTCATGATCGAGTTAGGAGAATTGGGTATGGATTTTAATTTTAATGGTTTATTTAAGACGAGTATCGATCATGGTGTAAACATTTGAGAATAATGTTGCTTTTGTGACATGATTGATTAAATCGACATTCATCTTGGTTTTCGTTATATGATTTGTCTTTTGAAATGTGATTAGAAATGTGATATGTATGTGTAATGAAATAATTGGTGTTGACCTTAAAAGTTGATGTCATGTCATCTCGAAATGTGATGCGTAAATGTTATATGTTTGTGTGGTGAAATAATCAATATTGATCTTAAAGGTTAATGTCGTGTCCCCTAAAATATGATGTGTAAATGTGATATGTGTGTATAGTGAAAAATTAGTGTTAGCCTTGAAGGTTGATGTTTTTTCTTTGCCAAATGTGATGTATAAATATGAAATGTATATGTGTAGTGAAATGATTGATGTTGACCTCAAAGGTTGATGTCGTATTTTGACTAAAAGTAACTTATGTGTGGTGAAATAATTGGCATTAACCTCAAAGGTTAATGATGTGTTCTAACTAAAAGTGTTGTGTGTGTGGGGGGGGGGGGGTGAAATAATTGGTGTTATCCTCAAAAGTTAACATCGTGTCTCGATTAAACATGATGTGCAAACATGATGTATATGTGTATGGAAGTGATCGGTGTTTGCCTCGAAGAAGGATGCTATATTTTGATATAACTGAGTGTGTTAAGTTTATCTATGATGAATTAAATTATGTGATGTGGGTCGAGATGGTTATCGGTCTTCCAAAATTATATGGGCTAAAACCATCGTAAGTTTCCGATTATATGGGTTGAAGTTGTGATAGACTTTCCAATTGTGTGATGTGATTTAAGGTTAATATTGGTCTTTCAAATTTATATGGGTTGAAATTGTTATAGATTTCTTGATTATATGGGTTAAAGTCGTGATAGACTTCCTAATTGTGTGATATAGGTTGAGGCCATTATCGATCTTCTAAATTTATGTGGGTTAAAATCATCATAGTTTTCCTATTTAGATGGATTGAAGTCATGATAGATTTTCCAATTGTGTGATATAGGTTAAAGTTGTAGTGGACTTCCCAAATTTATGTGGATTGAAACTTTGTAGGTTTCTCGATTATGTGGATTGAAATCATAATAGACTTCCCAAATTGTGTACTATGAGTTGAAGTTGTAATAGAATTTTTAAATTTATATGGGTTGAAACCATCATAAGTTTCCTATTTGTATGGGTTGAAGTTGTGGAAGAATTTTTAATTGTTTGATGTGGGATGAAGTCCTCGTAGCCTTTACGATTGTGTGTTGTGAGTCGAATTTGTTAATGACTTTTCCATCTTAAATATTTCTTATTTTTTTACTTTTAAGTAGAGAAATAAGCCTTCGACCAGTTTAAATCCCAAACTACTCAATCAACTTACCCTAACGAATAGATTTACTAAAATAAGGATAGATGAATAAAATAATAAGATCATATTTTGACATTCAACATGTATGCAATACAACCTATCTCGAAGTAAGACGTAGTGGCGGTGTTTTTATTCTTCCTCACTTGTAACTAACCCTTTACCTAGATTTCTAATTTTCCTAACTTGTAACCAACCTCGTACCTCGATTTCTACATAGATTAGTCGTTTGGGTTTTCTAGTTTTTTAATACTAGGTGGTGACTCTTTTACTTAATTTCTTATCCTTTCTTAGAGAGAGAGAGAGAGAGAATAATTGTAATGCCTATGGCCTAATAAGGAGTCAAGAGTGCTACTATACTTGTCTC